TATATATATATATATATCCACTCGTGTCATGCAAAACCTGTGGAGGTCATATATATCTAATAATAACAGAGGCTAATCAGCTACTCTTCCATTCATATAAGATCCACAAGGAAGGAGGGAATCACCTTCTGTTACGAGGTTGGGGTCACTGGAGTGTTTGCAAGTGATGATCTTCTCTACCAGCTGGTTGTAACTCAGTTTCCCAACTGCACTCACAGCCTCAGGACTCTACATGGGGAGTAGGAGAGGTAGGACGAAAATAAATTGATGTTTTTCCTAAGGAAGGAAATGAGCCAAGCCCACAGGCCTACAATTCTATGTTCAAAGATTCCTGAACGTTTGATGTCTTAAGAACTGATCTAGTGTGTGATGTTCTTACAATGGACTGCTACTCCAGTCCTAAAATAAAATACTAAAGTTCAAGGAATTCTGTATCAATCCAGTCTCCAAATCCTATCCCCCTCCCAAACCAATCAAACTTCTACCTTCCTAGACCTCACCCCACAAAATTTGGCCTTAATCACGTCAGCTTGAGCTGGCTGAGTCTCACCAAGGCCTCCTGCCCTCCTCACCTGTGGGTCAACAAGCCAGCCATGGTACAGAGGTATGCCCAGCAGGTCAAAGACGCTGCATTCGGGTGTGTACTCAAAGTCAGAGACACTGGTGAATCGCACATTGACATCCAGACCTGTGGCCAGCTTAGGTAACACTGTCATTGCGTCATCTACATTCTGGTGGAAGAAAAGAAAATGATGACTGGTCTAGCCTTCTCTCCCACTCTTCACTGCCTCCACCAGAAATAAAACATTCATTCTATTGTTTTTCTTCCCTGACTCTTGCAAGCCATTCATCCCCCTCGTGCCTCAACTTTATCTTATACAAATGAACGTATCTTTCAGGACAAAGAGAGATGTGATTGTCCCCCTGAGAAGGAAATCATGGATCAGGAAACCTTCACCAAAACTTCTAAATAAGTCCAGTGTCTGCTTGCAAACCTGCACCCTTGTGTCCACAGACCTCATGCCTTACCTGCTGAAAATTAAGTTGAAGGCCTTCAGACTTCTCCTGTGGCTTGATGGACAGGAGACAGTTTCCTAGAAGACAGGATCACTTATCAGCCTATCCCACCACTTGTTCGAAAAGCTCAGATTCCTTCTGTCCTGGGGAATGGGGCTAATGCCACAGGACCACAGATTTCCAGTCTAATCTGGAATCTTCATTTCTCAGAAGAAACAGGCTTAAAGGTGAAAGCCCCACCCAAAAAAGCTAAGGGCCATGGCTGGGGCTGTAGCTCAGTGGCATAGTGCTTGTCTTGCATGCTCAAGGCCCTCTTTGATCCCCAACACTAAGGTTGTTCCAGGGGTTTTAAAGGTAGGATTGGTATTATAACCCAGGACTCCTGTTACCTTGATCTCTGCTTTTCACTCTCCAGCTTTACAGACAAATCACTGACCTTCCTTACCCTCAGTGCCATATCAGAGTTCCAAATTGGGGCTTCCCTCATGAGTCTGGATTTGGGAATTCCTCTTCAAAGTCAAGTCACTCACCAAGATGTGTCATGAGCTCATCTGATGTAATAACTTCCTTCTGAGGGGACAACTTCACCTGAAGGTAGGAAAGGTGATTGTGAGTGCACTTTCCCTCCCAATAATGCAGGAGGAACCCACAAAGAGGAGGTCCAAGCCAGCATGGTGGCTCATGCAATACCAGCACTCAGAAGACAGAAGCAGGAAGAGTGAGGGTAGCCTAGGCTACCTAGTTAGTTCCAGGTCAGCCTGAGCTACAGTGTAAGATCTTGTCTCCAAAAACACAAAAAAGCGGGGCTGGAGCAACGGTTCAATGTTTAAGAGTACTTGCTGCTCTTGTAGAGGATCCAAGTTCAGTTCTCAGCACCTACATGGTGGCTCACAATTGCCTGTAACTCCAGTTCTAGAGGATCCAACTCTCTCTTCTGGCCTCCATAAGCACCAGACATATGGTATACATACATACATGTAGGCAAAACATTCATACACATAAAATAAAAAATAAATTCTTTTTTTTGTCTTTTTGAGACAGGGTCTCCTTGTAGCCCGAGCTGTCCTGGAACTCACTATATAGACCAGGCTGGCCTCAAACTCACAAAGATCTGCCTACCTCTGCCTCCCACGTGCTGGGATTAAAGGCCTGTGCCCCCCCACATGGCCTTTTTTTTTTTTTTTTTTTTAAAGCAAATAAAACAGCCAGGTGTGGTGGTACACATCTTTTTAATCCCAGCACTTGGGAGGCAGAAGTAGGAGAATCTCTAATTTCCAGGCCAGTCAGAGCTACATAAAGAGACCCTGTCTCAAGACAAACACACAAACAAGACAGAAACAAGAAACAAGAGAGAGAAAGAGAGAGAGAGAGAGACAGGGAGGATTCAGTGGACAGGCAGGGTGAGAAGAAAAAGCTTAAAGTTGGGGCAAGGGAATGAGTAGAAAATACTTCCACCAAGCATTCCCAGTGCTAGAGGGTAGGGGAGACAGGGGTCAAAGAACCATCTGGAAATTTTTGATGGGCTTGAGAAAATCAGAATAATTGGGTAGGTCAGACAACACTCCCTAGGATGTTCTTAGTCCCCACCTGCTGTCTCTCTCACCTTCCACTGAAGAAACAAGATGTTCATGATGGCAAGGAGAGGGCAGGGGCCATTGGTGCTCTGAGTGATGATGGGGGTCCGTTCTCCCTTCCAGGGGATCCACTTTACACAGTAGAAATCTAGCTCAAGCTGTCGGGTCCTAGGGGACTGGGGAAGCTCCTGAGGCTTCGAGCATGCCCCTATTGTCTCTACCTCAGGCGATGTCCCACAGGCTGGCCCAGGTAGACTGGAGCTAGCTTCAGGAGGCGGGCACTCAAGATTTTCCCCATCCTGGGCTGCCAGCAAAGCTTGGTCTCCTGGCTCCTGTTCTCCAGCAGCCATACCAGCATCTCCACCATCACCATTCTTGTCCTGAGGGTTTTCTTTTGGTCCAGACAGGACCTCATAGTTTTCAGATGTGACAGTTTCTGCATTATTGACCTTATCAGGGGCTGGAAGCTCAGGCTGAGGTTGTTCCATAGTGGGAAGAGTCACCTGAGGGAATGAAAGTGTTTCTTGACCTCAGATAATTGCCTAGGGGAGTAGTGATCTACAAAAGAGAGACCTGGCCAGTGAGATCATTGAGCTGGGAAGCAAAGGGACCCAGAAAAGGCTCAGAAGCAAATTCAGAAGGGAAGGCTGACCGCATCCACAGGGTCACCTCTGCTCTGCCTAGTACAGCCTTTCTCACCTTGTGTAAACAGAACTGCTCACGCTGGGCTCATTCCACTTCTAACTTGCTGTGACCAGATGGGACCAACAGGATTTGGGTTTCCAGGCTTGAGGAATGACTCTGGTGGGATTGAAGACACAGGGTAAAGGCAGCTTCCCTGAAACAAACAATGAAAAAGAATAAAGAAAAAAGAGGGTGGGTGTGGCCGCAAATGCCTTTAATCCCAGCACTTGGGAGACACAGGCAGGTGGATCTCTGTGAGTTCCAGGCCAGCAGGGGATACAGGGAGACCCTGTTACCCTGTCAAAAAAAAACAAAAAAAAAAAAAAAAAAAAAAAAAAAGAAAAGAAAAGACAGAGAGAAAGGGAGAGTACACCAGAGAAAGAGAGAAGGGTCTGGAGAGAAAATATTAAAACTATCCTAAAGTACGCTGGATGTACCTCAGTGGTATAGACCTTGCCATGTATGTATGAAACTCTGGGTTTGATCCGATCCCCAGCACTGAAACGAGCAAACCAATAAACCTAAACAAACCATCCTAATGGTTATTAATATGATAATATTTAGCTTGCTTTGTTAAAGGCATCTTGTCAGTTACCAACACCATAACAATCACCAAACCCTGCCCCTTCCAGAACATTCTGAGCACATAGGTTGCTTGTGTTCTTAGAGATGCCTTCTTCCTGCTCACCCAAAGGAGCACATAATTTTGGGGGTAGAGATGTATAGAGATAGCACCATGCTCCTAAATTTTGTGCTGAGCTGTTGAGAAAGGGAACATCCTTCTTCTCAAAGGACTATTTTGACTTAATGTTGAGACAGAGTCTCACATTGTAGCCTAGCTAGGCTGGTCTGGAACTCACTGTGTAGCCTAGGCTGGCCTAGAACTCTGGGTAATTCTCCTGCCTCAGCTTCCCTAGTGTTATTACAGGCCAGATCCAACCACACAAAGGTTTCAAAGGACTTGGCTGAACTTTACACAATCCTAAAACCACAGCAAAAAGGTAGGGAGGGGCTTCCTGTTCACAGGGACCTGTGTTTGTAAGTAATTTTGTAATCTGGCATACCTGGAAGGATTGAGAACATTCTAAAAAGACACTTAATGCCCCTCCCTTTTTAGACTCTTGAAACAATGGACCCCAAGGAATTGAAATTTCCCTAGAAATCTCATGCTGGGAGAAGAAAAACACTGAAGCCTGAAGCCAGCTGCAGAGGGACTTGGCTCCAGGAAGAGATTTCACAGGGTTCTAACAACTTGCCAGACCACCTTGCAGGATGAGACCAAAACGGAGACAAAGATGGATCGGTAGGATCAGTGATAGGCAGGACCACACCTTGACCTAGACTGCTTACCTAAGCATAACTCTGGATCCCTAAACCTCATGTCAGGCGTAGCGGGGCAGGGGTCTCTTTGTCTCTCTTTCTAATGTGGCTACACTAAATAAATCTCCTTTTTCTAGTTCTTACTATTATTTAAATTTTACTGTTACTATTTAAATTTTTTATTAAATTTATTTATTTATTGTATGTGTGTGCATGCAGAGGAAAATTTTGGAAATTAAACTCAGGTTATCATGATTGTCAGCAAGAACCTTTACCAACGGAGCCATTTCATTAACCCCTGCTTTTATTTATTAACCCAGCTCTTTTTAAAAAAGATTTATGAGGCTAGAGAATTCGCTCAGCCTTTAAAAGCACTTTCTGCTCTTGCAGAGGACCCAGGTTCAGTTTCTAGCACCCACACCACAGCTAACAACCATCAGCAATTCCAGGGAATCCAGTGCCCTCTTCTGACCTTCTCAGACATTGCACAACACTTATATACATGCAGGCAACACTCATACACATAAAATAAAAATAAATACAATTAAAAAAAAGATTTGTTTTTATTTTACGTATATGAATGTTTTGTCTGCATATAAACATGTACACTACATGTGTGCCTGGTGCTCACAGAGGCCAGAAAAGGGTGTCAGGGCCTCTGGAACTGAAGCTGTAGATAATTATGAACTGCCATGTCAGTGTTGGAACTGAACTTGGGTCCTCTGCAAGAGCAGCCAGTGCTCTTAACTGCTAAGTTAGCTCTCTAGCCCCGCCCACCCAATATTAATGTACACATTTTCTTTCTTTTCTTTAAAAATATTTTATTTAAAAAAAATATTTTAGGGCTGGAGAGATGGCTCAGCGGTTAAGAACACTGACTGTTCTTGCAGAAGACCCAGGTTTGAATCCCAGCACCCACATAGCAGCTAACAACTATCCATAACTCCAGTTCCAGGGGATCCAACAGCCTCTTCTGTCCTCCACGGGCATTGCACAACACGGGTGCACTTACCTACATGCAGGCATAACACTCATACACATAAAATAAAAATAATAAAATATATTTAAATATATATATATTTAATTTAAGGCTGGGCATGGTGGGGCATGCTTTTAATTCTAGCACTTGAGAGGCAGAGGCAGGCAGATCTCTGTGAGTTTCAGCCCAGTAGGGGCTACAGGGAGACCCTGACTCAAAAAAAAAAAAAATTGGTTATTTTTATTTCTATGTAAGTGCACCCATGCCTGAGGAGGTCAGAAGAGGACACCAGATCCCCTGGAACTGGAGTTATGGATGGTTGTTAGTCGCTGGGTGCTGGGATTCAAACCCAAGTTCTCTGCAAGTAACCACTGAGCCATCTCTCTAGTCCCTCTTTTTATTTAAAACAAAACAAAACAGGGCTCACTATGCAGTCCTCCTGGCTGCCCTGAACATCTTATGTTAACCAGGCTGGCCTTGAACTCACAGAGCTCCACCTACCTCTGCCTCCCAAGTGCTGGGATTAAATGAGTGTGCCACCATGCCCAGCTTAATTTAGCTCTTTTAACTGGCTTACTGAGGACAGTAGCCAAACCTGGCTTTTTAGGGTCCCCCAGTGTACAGACTGAACTTCTGGTAACTTCAGACATGAGGTACAAAAAGCACTCTCCACAAATTCTTTCAGTAAGTTGCTCTTGGCAGCTGGCATTGTTCTTTCCCAGTGGTGAGTAAACCCAGAGACATTCTTTTGTTCACTATTTATAGGGAATAGGAAACTACTGATAATTGATTTACATTAAAAATATTTCCACTAGCTGTGTATGGTGGTGAAGATCTTTAATTTCAACTACTCAGGAGGCTGAGGCAGGAGGCTCTTAGTGAGACCCTGTCTAAAATAAAATTTGAAAAAGAGCTGATGGTGTAGGCTCAGTGACATAGAGACTTGCTGAGTATGTGCAATGTGCTGTATTTGACACTCAGTAGTGGGGAAAAAAATTCACCCTCTAGCACATATGCTCTTTATGACTCTCATCTATATTTTTGTTTATTTACTTATTCATTTATTTTATTTATTTTTTTCAATTTTATTATTATTTCTATTTTATGTGTATGCATATATTACCTGCATGTAGGTAAGTGCACCTGTGTCGTGCAATGCCTGAGGAAGTCAGAAGAGGCTGTCAGATCCCCTGGAACTGGAGTTACGGATAGAGTTGTTAGCTGCCATGTAGGTGCTGGGATTCAAACCCAGGTTTTCTGCAAGAGCAACCAGTGTTCTTAACTGCTGAGCCATCCCTCCAGCCCCTATTTATTTATTTATTTATTTATTTTGTAGACAGGGTCTCCCTGTAGCCACAGCTGGCCTGGAACTCTCTATGTAGACCAGGCTAACCTTGAACTCACAGAGATACCCCTGCCTCTACCTCTGCCTCCCAAGTGCTGGGATTAAAGGTGTGAGTCATCAGGCCTGACTCATCTAGATAATTTTAAATGTGAATGCTGGACTTGTTTAACTTGCTGTCTATCAGCCATTTAATCAGTATGAGTGTTACAAAGCCACAATCCCTACCTCTGGAAACCATCTCCCTTCAATCTCCTACTCCCCTCCCTGTTCTTTAGTGAGGCTAAAAAATTGGGGAAAGTCCTGGCTCAGCAGTAGGGCACTTGCCTAACATCTGCAAGGGACTAGGTTCGAACCCCATCACTGAGAAAGAAAAAAATGGGATAAGGTAAACCAATTAGGAATCTTTTTCTAACGTTTTTCTTTTTTGAATTTTGAGACAGGGTCTCCCTGCAGCCCCAGCTGGCCTAGAACTCACTATTTAAACCAGGCTGGCCTCGAACTCACAGAGATCTGCCTGCTTCTGCCTCCCAAGTGCTGGAATTAAAGGTGTGTGTCACCATACATGGCCTCTTTTTTTTCAACTTTTGAGACAGTATCATTATGTAGCCCAGGCTAGCTTTGTACTCACTATGCAGCCCAGGCTGGCCTCAAACTTCTTACCTCAGTTTTACAAGTGTGAGGATTTTAAGTGTGTGCTGTCACACTTGGTCTGAAATCTTGTTTTTGTGGTGATCCCTCCTTACTTGCTTTTTTCTTGTAAATCTTCAAGAACTGGGGGCTGGGAAAAGGCCTGAGACAAGAGGAACATTATTAGCTACGTCTAGTGGGTGGCTCAGGTCAGCAATCCCATTTACTCAGGTGACATGAGGCAGGAGGACCTGGAAATCAAGATCTGCCTGGGCTCCAGAGAAACAAAGTTACTGAAATAAAATAAGTCACCCAAATTGATCATCCTCCTGATTCAAATATAATTTAGGCTAACTGCATTTAATTTACATGTTGTTAATTTAGAATCAGAGTAGCAAAAATTACCTGCAGGTCTTACACATTTTTTTCTCTCTCTTTCCACTTCTCCTCTCCCATGGCACTTGGGGTGAACCTTGAAGCAGAGCCCAAGCCTGAAAAAAATTTAAAAAGCTTAAAGAAAAGCATGGCTCATTTTCTGCCCAGTGCTAGAAATGATCAATAATTAAGTGGGGGTTGGGAAGCTAGCCAACCAAAGAAAACAGGCGCCCTACCCAGGAGGCAGCGGGGTCTCTGAAAAATTGGGCAGAGCTGAAACTGGGCTACTTCCTAGGCAGGGGAGGAAGTGCAATGGAGGGTCCACCTTGGATGGCTCATTCCCGGTGGGAAGGGCATGGTTTATTCCAGAAGAGGAAAGAATGATGGGGAGGGTACCCAAACAAATCAGGGTTTCATTCTTGCCCTCTTTCCTCAGTTCAAATCCTACATTTCTTTTCCAGATGGCATTACCAATGGTGGCAGGTAAGGGAGTTAAAACAGCCCTAGCTAGTGGTGGCAACTAGTCCCAGAGTGGAAGCAGGAAATTAAATAGGTATTATGGAGCTTCAAGAACACATCTCCCACCCTCTACGACCTTCATCTCCCTTCAAGTCCCTAGCTCTCCCACGCCAATCTCCTTCCCAGGTGAACCCAAACCTTAATGGAAACAATGGTTTGAGATTCCCTCTAGAATAAGGCCAAACGCCACACAGGGTGCTAACTGCTTTCTCCGGAGAAGAGGGCGAGGGTTTGAATATACGAAGGTAATCAAGGAATCAAGCAGCATCTCTTCCACGTGCTCCTCAAACCTTCTATCCTCTAAGCGACCCAGATAGAGAGACCACAGATGGAGAGGACATCAGGTGTCAACTCCACCCAGAAGGAGAGGGAAAGCAGAAGAGCTGAAGAAGATAGTTCCAAAACAAAGTTTTACCTTAAAGAGGTGGATGCGGTTCCAGGACTGGGAAAGAGGGCTCAATGCTGGCAGTTCGACGGCGGTTACAGGGGACGTGGAGGGGCGCCGCCAGTGCCAGCTGCCTCTCAGCTGTCAACCCCGCAGCTTACACAAGTTGACACGAGGCTACTAGCACAGCGTCCAGCCTGGGTCTGGTCACTTCCGGACTCCCGCCCAGAACCCGGGGCAGCGCAGGAGGGTGAGCGCAGGCAGGGCGCAGCCCCCGCGCTCCCCCAGGTCCTCGGGTCTTCAGGATCCCCGAGAGACCAAGTCTCCGGCGGGCGCTCCAGGCCCTGCCTACAAACTGGTTTTCAAAGGAAGTTTGTGGTTTTTCTTTTTTTTTTTCTTCCTTCTCTCTCTCTCTTTTTCCCCTCCGTCGGGACAAAGAAAAATTAGCCAAAGACAGGCTCCCTGGAGGAGGAAGGGCCTGCTCAGCAATGGATTTCCATCTGGGCTCTCTGACCTGGTCAGCAGCAGAAAGGGAGAGAGAAACAAGGCGAGAAAAACAACAGACCCTTTCTCTTCCCTCCGCCTGCGGCTCGAAGCTCGGGAGCGCTTGTGCCTCTCTGGTGAGAACAGGGAAGAGCAAGTGCCCTTTGCCGGGTGGGGAGGAGAAGGCTGGACAGCAGCCCCGAGTTGGCTCTCTCGATGCGGGGGATCTTCTGCTCTGGATCCACAGAAGCAGGGTGAAAGAGCACTGTATTTGCATATTTACTCATTTAATATGGGAAAAATCCTGCTTCTGTTTCCAAGCCCTCCTTTCCTCCCTCTGTTTTGTTTTGTTTTGTTTTGTTTTAAGTTGCAAGAGAATCCTTTTTTTTTTTTTTTTTTTTTTAAGGCTAGAAATGAAATTGGGTGTGAATGGAGCCCCAGGCTCAGATCCCAGTAAGCCGGGAACCTCCTGAGCCGAGGAGATCCAGCCCTCCTAGGCCTTGGTTCATTTTCACCACAGGCCTCACATTAAGTCACTTCCTCTCACCTTCTGCCTTGGGAAGCAGGAAAAAAATGGGGATTAATAACCGAGGGAACATGTGACATGAAGGGATATCTTTTTTCCCTTCAGCCATGTACCCTAGATCAGGAAAATGGCAGTTGAGGGAAGTTGGAACCTAGCTTTACATTCTGAAGGCTCCTGCAAACTCTATTGTTACAGGACAAGACTTCAAGCAACTCTGACAGATGAAAGCGCGGTTGGACCAACTAGAGACTCAGGAGGCAAAAAGTCAGGATTACAAGAGTCCAAGAATGGAATGAGATATTTGCCAAGGCTGTAGGAAAAAAAGAGGCCACAGAGTTGTAAAGAAGCAGGAGAGTTGGGGATACTGAAGGTATTTTTAGTAAAGAAGAGAGGTCAAAGATTATGCTAATGTTTTCCTAGCATGGACACATACAACACTGGTGGCAAGAGATTTGTTTGGTAAAGGGGAGAATTTTTTTTTAAAGAGGGAAAGCTGTTTTAATAAGATGTAGAGCTATGTTGTAATTTAAAATGTCAACAAAGCCGGGCCTGTAATTCCAGCATTCAGGAAGCTGAGAAGAAAGATAAGGAGTTCGAGACTGGCTTGGGCTACATAGCAAGTCCCTGCCTCAAAGAATTGATTAATTTAATTTAATGTCAACAAGATGCTCGGTATATATAAAGATGATATACTTGACCCTATCTAGTGGAGCAAGTTCAGATGCCATAAAGGCGCTTACTGTGACACATACACAATTTGTATGTCATAGCCCTCAGAAAATTGCACTGAGTAGTTGGGGGACATTTCGGAGCGTCTGGACTACGGTTCCCAGGAGGCACTGCGACATCTCCTTGACCTCCCATGAGTCTCTGGGGGAAGAACTCCGCTTCCGCCTCTGGGGGAGGGGGGGTAGGGTAACGTCGACATCCGGGAGCTCGGGATTACGCACTTCCTCCTGGGGGTGGGGGTGGGAGGCTGAACCCTTGTGTGGCGGGTTCGAGTCCCGCCCTCTGATTCTCGCCTCTAACCCCCAAGTCCGGGGCGGGGTGCATTCAGACGGGTATCCTCTCCTAGTCCGGTGGTGACGGCACACCTTGAGCATCACCATGGAGGACTACCTGCAGGATTGTCGAGCCACGCTGCAGGTAACGGGTCCCGGAGTGTGACCGAAAGGAATGCAGCTTGGGGTCGGGGAAGGACGAAGATTCGGGATCTGGAGAACCCGAACGGTCCGTAGGAGTGACCGCCGAGGTGGGAGCGGGGAACCTGGGGTCCGAGCAGGGTTGGGGCGTGAGGACCAAATCCCTAGCCTATGAGCGGGGCGATGCCGTTACGTCTCCCAGAGAAGTGTGTACCCTGCTTTGAGTCTGGTTTCTGTCGCCTGGGTCAGTTCCCCGAATAGACCCGAGGTCCGCGGCCGCCAGCCTCACCCCGCGGGTGTGTTTATTCCTCTCTCCCCGCCCCTTTTCCAGTTTTCTCCGGGCTTTAGCCCACTGGCTTCCAGGTGAACCTCGGGGATGTAGAGGGAACTCGGGCGCACCGCTTTATTTCCTTTGAATGGCCGTTTGTCTTTTTCTAGATATTAGAGGTGGTCACGGTGTTATTTAAATCTCTGTTTTTAAGCCAAGCATACAGAATAATAATACATCAGGCATATCTGTTGACCTACAACCTACATTCCTTTGCCGCCAGTGTTCTCCCATAGCCTTAAGGCACACACAAATTACATAAAGATAACCCCCTCCTTGGCAAGGGATAAGCACCAAGTGTGTTTGGAATCAAAACCAGAATGAATACTTTGTAGCTTATTTCTGGTGCTTTCTGAGCCTGGTGGACTCACCCAAGCTGTGGTGACAGGCCAAGCAGCTTTATCTTGATTCTAGTTAGGAGCTCCTGGAGATCACCTGGCCCCCCACTGTGAGTTTCACTGTCCCCAAAGAAACCTAGATGGCTGCCCTCTAAAATAACTTAATTGGGTGTGGTGGCCACATGCTTGTAATCCCTGCACTTGGGAGGAGGAGGCAGAATGTTCACCGGTTTACAGCAGCTCTGAGTTGAGCTGCACAGTGGTAACTGGGGGGGACGGGACACAAAAATAGAACAAAACTTAAAATTCCTCTGGACAATAGATTTGATCTTTTACAAATCCTAAAAGTCACCTCAGCTTCTGGGATAAATGAATATTCTCAGATTGAATTTGGGGTGAGGTTCAATTTTGATAGCTACACTAAAGTTTTCTTACTGAAAAACATTTGACTGGGTGTGGTGCTGCATACCTCTAATCTCAGTACTTGGTAGGTTGAGGCAAAAAGATCAGGAGCTCAAGGGCAGCCTGAACTACATGGTGAGACTGTCTCACATTCCCCTATGCCCCTTGGAAAAAAACCCATCATATTTTGGGGAAGTTATTTTAATGCGTAGGACAATATGAAACCATTTCTCTGGTTACTTTTTTCCCTGTTGTTTGTTTGTTTGTTTGTTTGTTTTTTGGTTGTTTTTGAGATAGGGTCTTACACTGTAGCTCAGGCTGATGTGGAACTCACTATGTATCCAGGCTCACCTCAAATTCCCTATGTAGCCAAGGCTTACCTTGAACTTCTTAACCTCCTGCCTCTACTTCCCAAGTGTTAGGATTATAGGAATCCACTACTATGCCCATCCTTTCTATCATTTAATTAAATTAATTAATTGAGGGGGGGATTGAGACAGGGGCTCCCTGTAGCCCCAGCTGGCTTGAAACTTCCTATGCAGACCAGGCCTTGATCTCAGAGATCTGCCTGCCTCTGCCTCTCACATCCTGGGATTAAAGGCATGAGTCACCATATCCAGCCCATTTCTGTTGTTTTTTTGTTTTGTTTTGTTTTGTTTTGGGTCTTTTTTTGAGACAGGGTCTCCCTGTAGCCCCAGCTGTCCTCAAACTCACTATGTAGACCAGGCTGGCCTCGAACTCACAGACATCCGCCTGCCTCTGTCTCCTGAGTGCTGGGATTAAAGGCGTGCACCACCATGCTCGGCTCATTGCTCATTTCATTTTATTTTTAATTATCTGTTTGTGTGTGGGTATGTACATTTGAGTGCAAGTGCCCAAGGAGGCCAGAAAAGAACATGGGATCCCCCAGAGCTAAAGTTACAGGCAGTTGTAAGCTGCCTGACATAGGTACTGGGAACTGAACACCAGTCCTCTGGAAGAGCAGCAAGTGTGCTTAACTTCTGGGCAATCTCTCCAGCCCCTATTTAATTAATTAATTTATTTTGTGGGGCAGGTGGAGAGAGAGGAAACTTGCAGTTGTCTCTCTTCCCACCATATGGGTCCCAGGAATCAAACTCAGGTCATTAGTTACCTATATTTGCTGAGCCTTCTCACTGACCCTTTTTATTTATTTTTTAGGTTGGCATCTTTATTCATTGTGCCATTATACTTTGTTCTTACTGTTTCCCTCCACTATGGGCTGGCTCTTGATTTTTGACATAGTCTTGCTCTGTAGCTCAGGCTAGCCTGGAACGCATGATCTGTTTGCCTCAGTCTCCTAAGTGCTGAGTTTATAGTATGTACCACCATGCCTGGCTTTTGTTTTTTGTTTAATTTTTATTCCATTACAGGGAGTTCTTTTGAGGTAAAGATTTTTCTTTTGAGTGTTTTGCCTGCATATATGTAAGTGCACCACATATATGCAATGCCTGCAGAGGCCAAAAGAGGGCGTTGGATCCCTTGGAATTGTTACAGACAGTTGTGAGTCAGTTGCTGGAACTGAACCCTTGTCCTCTGCAAGAACAACCACGGCTATCTCTCCAGCCTCCCCACCCCCTTTTTTTTTTTTTTGAGAGAGGGTCTCACTATGTAACCCTGACTGGCCTGGAACTTGCTATATAGACTAGGCTGGCCTACAACTTGCAGAGTTCCACCTGCCTCTGTGCCTCTGGAGTACTATGATTAAAGATGTGTACCACCATAGCTGGCCTATTTTTGTTTTTTTTTTTTTTGGTTTTTTTTTGTGGTCTTTTTGAGACAGGGTCTCTCTGTAGCCCCAGCTGTCTTGGAACTCACTATGTAGACCAGACTGGCCTTGAACTCACAGAGATCCACTTGCCTCTGCCTCCCAAGTGCTGGGACTACAGGCGTGCGCCACCACACCTGGCTCTATTATTTTTATTTTATGTATATGTGTGTATTGTCTGCATGTAGGTAAGTGTACCCGTGTCATGCAATGCTGGCGGAGGACAGAAGAGACCGTCGGATCTCCTGGAACTGGAGTTACGGACAGTTGTTAGCTGCCATGTGGGTGCTGGAATTTGAACCTGGGTCTTCTGCAAGAGCAGTCAGTGTTCTTAACTGCTGAGCCATCTCTAGCCCCTGTTATTTTTAAATTGTGTGTGTCTCTGAGTGTGATGATATGTGAGTACAGGTACCAGTGGAGACCAGCAGCATCGCATCCCCCTGGAGTTGGAGTTACAGGTGGTTGTGAGCCACACAGTGTGGATGCTGGGAACTATAGGTCCTCCTAAAAATCAGTAAACCTTCTTAACTGCTGAACCATCTTTTCAGCCCCTACTTATTTATTGGGTGTGTATGAGTTTGAGTGTCTTTCTGTGCACATGCACAAATGTGTCCATGGAGGTCAGAAGAGGATGTGGAATCAGAACTGCCAAAGAGCAACTAGGTCATCCTTTCCAAACTTGTGAGCTCGCTCCTAAAGATGATATTGTGCCTTAGAATACAATCACAATATCACAGCCTCACCAGGGTTGGAATAAGTAGAACATGAGACCTTAGGAATGTTAGCAGGTAAGCTGATGGCAGAATATGCTGAGGGATGCCAATAATTTCCATTCCTTTTAACTATATAAGTAGCACATAGGGAAAATATAAAAGCACATAAAGGGTAAGAAATGAGAGGCTCAGGGGTTAAGAGCACATACTACTCTTGTAGAGGACCCAAGTTTTGTTCCTAGGACCCACACTGGGTGACTCACAGCCACCTATAACTCCAGCTTCAGGGGGAGCTGATGCCCTCTTCTGGCTTCCATGGGCACCTACCTATAGTCACACGCACACACACACACACACACACACACAATTAAAAATAATAATTTTTTTTATAAAGGAGATGAAATAAAGATATATTTTATTTTCCATCCAGTTCCTCAGAGCCCATCTTGTTCATTTTTTTTTTTTTAAGATTAAAAAAAAACTTTTGCCAGGTGTGGTGGCACATGCCTGTAGTCCCAGCACTTGGGAGGCAGAGGCAGGCAGATCTCTGTGAGTTCAAGGCCAGCCTGGTCTACATAGTGAGTTCCAGGACAGCTGGGGCTATAGGGAGACCCTGCTTCAAAAAGACAAAAAAAACAAAAAACAAAAAAAAAAAAACAACTTTTATATGTCTATGAGTATATGCCATGTGTACCTGAGGAAGCCAGAAGGGATGTCAGATCCCATAGGGCTAGAGTTACAGGTAGTTGTGAGCTGCCCCATGTGGATGCTGGGGGTCTTCTAGAAGAGCAACAAGTGCTCTTAACTGCTGAACCATCTCTCTAGCCCCCTGTTAATATTTTTTTGTCTGTATAAAGAGAGCTTGTTTGAAGATTCAAGCAGGGGCAGACTACTTGTATACCCTTGTATGCCTTGACTAAAGAACAGTCCTTCCCTACTAGGGAAAGTCATGCCCTTTGAAGGCGCTTTCAAGAGGGACACACATGGAGTAGTGAGGGAGGAAAGAGATACCTGCCTAGCTAGCCAGATCAGTCAAATTAATCCTGGTGATCAGTGGAGTGACAGATGTTGCAGCCAGATCACCCTCACATCCTCTTATGTAAGGGGAAACCAGATTTAGACAGACATGCCATTAAGTTTGAATGTTTTCCGGTAGCTTAACAGTAACTTCTTAGGAAACTAATGGATGCTTGCCTTTTGCATAGGACAGAGACAGCTGCTAGTCCAGCCAGTCCTGCTGATACCATATTTTTTACTAGAGAAGTTTTCTATAGCCTCCTCTACAATGACAATAGCATGTTCTGTTTAAAAGAAATTTATTTAGCCGAGTGTGGTGGCACATGCATTTAGTCCCAGCACTTGGGAGTCAGACAGGTGGATCTTTGTGAGTTTGAGGCCAGCCTGGTCTACTTAGTGTATTCCAGGACAGCTGGGGCTACAGGGAGATCCTGTCTCAAAAAGACCAAAATAAAAGAAATCTATTTAGCTGGACTTAGTGAGTTACGGGCCAGCCTGTGCTACATGAGACCTACTCTCAAAGGAAAGAAGGGAAAGGGAAGGGAGAAAGGAAGGTCTGTTTAATTAGATTTTATTTATTTTTATTTATTTATTTTTTTGGCTTTTTTTGAGACAGGGTCTCCCTGTAGCCCCAGCTGACCCTGAACTTGCTATGTAGACCAGGCTGGCCTCGAACTCAGAGATCTGCCTGCCTCTGCCTCCCAAGTGCTGGGATTAGAGGCGTGTGCCACCATGCCCAGCTAAATAACTTGTTTTTATGTGTATGAGTGTATTGTCTCCATGTGTGTAAGTATACCTGTGTCATGTAATACCTGAGGATGTCAGAAAAAGGTGTCAGATCCCCTGGAACTGGAGTTACAAATGATCCATGTTGTGTGCAGTGCCCAAAGGAGGACAGAAGAGGTCATCGGATCCTCTGGAACTGGAGTTACAAATGGTTGTTAGCCACCATATGGGTGCTGGGAATCGAGCCCAGGTCCAGTCAGTGCTCTTTTTTTTAAATATTTTATTTATTATTTTTATTTTATGTGTATGAGTGTATTGCCTGCATGTATGTGAGTGCACCCATGTTGTGCAATGCCACGGAGGTCAGAAGAGGGCTTCAGATTCCCCTGGAACTGGAGTTAAGGATGGTTCATAGCCGCCATGTGGGTGCTGGGAATCGAACCTGGGTCCTCTGCAAGAGCAGTCAGTGCTCTTAACTGCAGAGCCATCTCTCCGGCCCCAGGCCTGTTTAAATGTCCTCCTATCCTTGGTGATTCCTTTCATTCTTCTAGGGAGGAATCTTTCTTCAGGGTGGGGCTGCTTTTATATTGAGGTGTTTGGCTAGGAACAAAGGTTCCAGGAGGCTTTGGATGAAGAGTTGTGTGCAGTCACAAGTATGAGTCAGGAACCAGATGTGGCCACTGTCCTTTATCAGCATCACTCCCATTTTCTCTGGGAGGGTTTGTCTGGCTGCTGCTCTGATGTGCAAACCCCCATCCTCGTTAACTGTTTTGTGGAGAGTAGTTATCAGAGCACATTCTGCTTTGGAAGGCAAGTGGTTTACTTTGCAACTCTCAACCCTCTTCCTGTCCGCCATCCAGGCCACAAAGAAAACATGAGGATAAGTGTAATTTTTTCCTCTTCTCTTTTTCTTTTTAATTATTATTATTATTAATTATTGTTTTTTGTGTTTTTGAGACAGGGTCTCCCTGGTAGCCCCAGCTGTCCTGGAACTCATAGAGATCCACCTGCCTCTGAAGTGCTGGGAGTAAAGGCCTGCACCATCATTCTTGGCCTCTCTTTTTTAAAAAATTCATTTTTTGTGTGTCTTTAATCTTTTATTTTATGCATATGAGTGTTTTGCCTGCATGTATGTAAGTGCACCTTGTGCAATGCCTATGGAGGCCAGAAGAGCGTATTGGATCCCATGGAACTAAAGTTACAGGTGGTTGTTAGCTACAGATGGTTGTAAACTTTTTTTTTTTTTTCCGAGACAGTCTCACTGTATAGCCCTGGAGATCCTCCTGCCTCTGCCTCCTCCCAAGTGCTGGGATTAAAGGCGTGTGCCACTACACCCTACTTCCTTTTCTCTTTTAAGAAAAAGTTGTTTTTTGTTTTTTAATTTTATTATTTTTATTTTATGTGTATGCATATATTGCCTGCATGTATGTAAGTGCACCCGTGTGTCGTTCAATGCCCACAGAGGACAGAAGTGGTCGTTGGATCCCCTGGAACTGGAGTTACAGACAGTTGTTAGCTGCCATGTGGGTGCTGGGATTCAAACCCAGGTCTTCTGCAAGAACAGTTAGTGTTCTTAAGTGCTAAGCCATCTCTGAAAAAAGTTTAGCTTAATGTAGCTTACTGGCTGTAATCCCAACACTTGGAAAGTAGAGGCAACAGAATTGCCAGGAGTTTAAGGCCAATGACGGTGAATTCTAGCAGGTGGATCTCTGTAAGATGGAGACCAGCATGGTCCTGGTCTCCATAGCGAGTTCCAGGCCAGCTGGGACTATAGGTAGACCCTGTCTTAAAAGAAAATGTGTGTTGGGGGGAGGGTGTGGAGCATCCAGGCATGGTAGCATACACCTTTAATCTCAGCACTTGGGAGGCAGAGGCAGAAGGATCTCCAGGACTATACAATGAGACTGTCTCAAAAAAAAAGTTTACATTTTCTGTGGCTCTCAGATTGTATTTCTTCCATTGGTAGCTCAGGTTTCTCATACTGCTAAGTACAGCTGAATTTCCCCTGCACTCTTCCTCAGATGGTTAGAAAACAGACACTGTCTGGTCTGTGTATTCTCCTGGTAGAAGGATGGGCTGAAGGTGTTTGAGAGTTACATATTTTTCCTAAATGAAAAAAAGAGTCTTAGAAGTTGGGGACAACCATAGTCCCAGAGCCTAGATTACTCTTAGTTTTCTGGAACATAGTCATTAAGAGTACTTAATGACTATTTTCCTTTTCAGCAGTCTCCCAGATTGTATATCAAAGTGTATAATCACCTGACCCTAAGTGATGTTATAGATTAGGGATGCACAATCATGAAAAGATAGTCTCTTATGGTAGAAGTTGTCTTTCCTGAGAACCACAAGCGCTGGAAGCTGGAGGTTTAGAGAAGCAGGCTTATTTCATCCTGGATGACTGAGGAAGGCTTCACAAAGAAAGGGGCTTTTAAAAAGGTAGGCCTGGCTTGGCCTGGGCAAAGAAGAGGGAAAGGAATGCATCCCTTATGTTTACAGAGGAGCATTTAGGTGCTCTCATTTAGTCCACATACCTTTGTGAAATCAGTTACAGCATTATCCTCCTTTTGCTTTTTTTGGAGAGGAAAAGATCTCTTTTTGTAGCCCAGGCTGACCTCACAGTTGCTGCAATCCTCCTGCCTCAGCCTCCTGAGTGCTGGGATTACAAGCAAGAGCCGTCATACTTAGCTTATTATCTCTTTCTTCTTTATTTTTATTTTATGTGTATGAGTGTTTTGCCTGCATGTATTTAAATGTACCTGTGTTATTCAGTGCCCATGGAGATCAGAAGAGGGTGTTAGATCCTCTGGAACTGGAGTTACAGACAGATGTTAGCTATCATATAGGTGCTAGGAACTGAACTGGGTCCTTAGCAAGAGCAGCCAGTGCTCTTAACCGCTGAGCCATCTCTCCAACTGGTATTTTTGTTGTTGTTGTTGTTGTTGTTGTTTTTGAGACAGGGTCTCCTTGTAGTCCCAGGTGGTCTGGAACTCCCTGTGTAGACCAGGCTGGCTTCGATCTCACGGAGATCTGCCTGCCTCTGCCTCAAAAGTATTGGGATTAAAGGCATGCAGCATCATGTTTGCTGACATTTATTTTGTGTGTGTGTGGACACATGTTACAGCTCATGTGTAGAGCTCAAAGGACAATTGCTAGAGGCTGGTCTCTCTATCATGTGTTCTAGGGATTGAACTCAGGTTGTCAGGCTTGATAGCAGGTGCCTTTACCCACTGAGCCATTGTACTAGCCCTATCCTCCTTTTTATGTAGGAAAAACAGGGCTTAGAGAAACCAGAGTCCCATATCAAGTAAGAAGCAGAGCTGGGATTCAACCCTAGTCTGTGATCTCTCCATGTGGTAAGTCTGCTGCTTCTAGAAAACAAATAGTGCAAAGAAAGGGCAGATAGGGAATGTGCATATCGTGATTTGGGGGCGGTGAATAGTCCAGTTAAGGCTGGGGAATGGTGGGTGCTGATGGGGGTGGGGAAAGAAAAGAATGCTACTGCCACCTCCCTTTGTCAACCCAGGTCCAAGACTTGCTCAAGTCCAGAGCATTCCTGTTGCCTGCTGCCTGGGCTTGGCTGAGCATCAGGGTAGATACTAACCTTTCTCTCTAGACCATTTCTCCTCCCCTCAATGCCATGAAGTTGTGTAGTCCCTCTTTCTGCTTTTCTTTGCCTTCCTTCCATGCTGGAGATTTGGCTGATCCTGATTCAGTTGCCTCTTTGAATGAAGCAGCACTATTATAACACAATTTGGGAAATGCTCTCTAAAACCCTCCTAGGACCCTTGCTGTGCTTCCTGCCCACCCCCCCCCCTTTTTCTCCAGGCAGTGTATACGGTCCCTCATGTTTACAACCCTCTTAGTGCTTCAGTGAATAAATTATCTCTGCATCCGCTTACCACGAGGACTTTGCTGTCACTTTGGTCCACGGCCATCTGGGCATTTGGTGTCCAGAGAACAAAGAGGCTTTCTCTAGTTTCAGGAGGAGGAATTAGAAGTCAAAGGAAATGCTCTGGAGGCAAAGGCAGGCGAATCTCTGTGAGTTCAAGGCCAGACTGGCCTATAGAAATCAAAGGTATTGTTATACTATATGACTGGGGTCTTGGGCACAGAGTTCTCTTATTGCCCTGGAAAAGAATTTACTTAGTGTTGCAGGTACAGTGGTGTACACACGTAACTCCAGTGCTAGGTAGACTCAGGCAGGAGGATTCTGAGTTTGAAGTGAAACCAAAACATCAACAAAAAACGATTTCAGTATTAAAAAGACTTTCCCAGTGCTGTTCCTTCTGAATGGGCCCGCGTCATACACACACAGTGGAGTGATCAAATCAGGGTGCTCCACATATCTGTCATTCAGACATTTATTATCTCATTCTCTCTCTCTTTCTAGCTTACTCTGTTTTTGTTCCTTTGACACAGAATCTCATGTAGCCCAGCCTGGCCTTGAGCATGCTATGTAGCTGAACTTTTGATCTTCCTGATTTTACCTCCCAAGATCTAGGACTATAGGCATACACCACTGTGCCTGGTTTATGTAGTGCTGGGAGATTGAACCAGGACTAATTGGGTGATAGGCAAACACTCTAACAACTGAACTACATCTCTAGCCCTGGTGTGTTTTGTTGTCTGACTTTCAATTTTTTTTTTTTTTTTTTTTTGGTGGTCTTTTTGAAACAGGGTCTCCTTGTAGCCCCCAGCTGACCTGGAACTCACTATGTAGACCAGGCTGGCCTTGAACTCACAGAGATTTGCCTACCTCTGCCGCCCAAGTGCTGGGGCTACAGGTGTGTGCCAACAAGCCCCACTCAAATTTTTTTTAAATTCATTTTCTTTTTGTTATTTTGTCTCCCCCCCCCCCCGAGCTGAGGACTAAAAACCCAGGGCCTGGCACTTGTTAGGCAAGCGCTCTACCACGGAGCTAAATCCCAACCGTCTTTTTATTTTTTGTATATGAGTGTTCTGCCTGTATGTCTATAAGTGCCACTACTTGTAGAAAATGCCTGAGAAGACCAGAAGCGGGGAACTGGAGTTACGACATTGTTAGCGGTCACCTGGGTGCTGGAACCTTTTCAAGAGCAGCAAATGAGCCATCTCTGCAGCCCCTTGTTTGAGACAGCTTCACATAGCACAGGCTAGACTCAAACTGGTAATCCTCCTGCCTCAGACTCCTGAGTGCTAGGATTATAGGCATGAACCACCACACCTGGGTTCAATACTTTTATTTGTTTATGTATTGTGGATGTGGGTGTGTATGTACCACAGTATGGAAGACAATTTAGGGGAGGAGTCAGTTCTTTCACCATGTGGGACCCAGAGACTGAACTCATGTCTTCTGGCTTTGGTTGCAAGTACCTTTACCTACTCAGCTGGCCCAAAGGCCCCATATCCTTTTTTTTTTTTTTTTTTTTTTAATGAAACAGTGTTTCCCTGTAGCTCCAGCTGGCCTGAAACAAGGCTGGCCTTGAACTCACAGAGATCCACCTGCCTCTGTCTCCCAAGTGCTGGGATTAAAGGTGTACGCCACCATGCCCAGCATGGCCCCATATTCTTGAAGTAGGACTGGAGAAATGGGCATGGGGAAATCCTGAGGGCAAATGCCCTTTAGGTGACCCTGAGGCTTGGCAAATATCTCTTTCTAGTGGTAGGAATAAGAAATGGGGAAGAGAGTGCATAAAAACAGACAGAAGCCTATCTATGAGCTGGGAACATAGCTCAGTGGTAGAGGGTTTGCCTAGCATGCATGAGTCCCTAAGTTCAATTCTCAGCACTACAAAACAGAAACAGAGATCTATCTAATAACTGGATGTGGCCATTTCTACCACCAGAAGTCTTCTAAAATTGCTCTGGCTTTCTGGTAGAGGAAGGATAATAAAGAAGATGATTTTCGGTTTCTTTCCTAAAGTTGCAGTACTTGATAACTGCCCCTTGCTATGTCTTAGTCTTCTGCACCCTTTTCTGCTTCACTAAACTCTTTGCCTAGCAAATCATCCCTGACAAGGAAATCAGCATGGATTTTCACCTTGCCTGCTGCTACTTAGAATGCTGTAGTTCTCAACTGGGGCAGTTTTGCCTCCTACAGGTTTATCAAGTGTTTATTTGTTATGACTGTATTGCTATCTGTATCTATTGGGTAGAGGCTGGAGAGCCTGCCAAATGTCCTATAATATGCAGGACAGCCCCTCCAGCAAAGGCTTAGCCAGCTCAAAATAACAACAGTGTTAAAATGAAGAAATCCTGCTATGACTGGTATATCTTGCTTTCTCCCTCTCATCCAGCCTTCACTGAGAACAAACTGAGAAGTTCAAAAGTAAACTGGTGGGCCTGGCAAGATGGTTCAACAGATAAATGCACTTGTCACTAAGCTTGACAACCTGAGTTTGATCCCCAGAACTCACGTGGTAGAAGGAGAGAACCCATTCCCTCATGTTGTCCTCTGACCTCCACACATGCACCATGGCATGTGCAGGTGTGTATACATGCACATACAGTAATATTTAAAGAGTGAACTAGTGAGAGACTGGGGATATAGCTATGTTGCTAGAGCTCTTGCCTAGCATGTACAGCCCAGGTTTCAGTCTCCAACAGCACATAAACTAGGCATGATAGTGCATGCCTGTAACCCCAGTGCTAGGAAAGCAGAAGTAGGAGGATGGAAAATTTGAGGATTGTCTGGGCTACATAGCAAGCCCTGTCTCAGAGCTTAGAAACAGAGTGCTTACCTAGTGTATGCAAGGCCCTAGATTCAGTCTCAAATACTGGAAAATAATAATGACGATGATATAATTACTTTTTAAAAATATTTTATTATTTTATATGTATGAGTGTTGTACCTACATGTATGTTAAGTGCACCTGTGTTGTACAAGACCCACAGAGGTCAGAA